TTGTTGCAATCAGACAGTATGTAGCCTTTTCAGATTGGCTTCTTTCACTTAGTAATATGCATTTAAGGTTCTTCCATGTCTTTTCATGGCTAGATAGCTCATTTCTTTTTAGTGCTGAATAATATTCCATTGTCTGCACATACCACGATTTATTTATCCATTCACCTACTGAAGGATTTCTTGTTTGTTCCCAAATTTGGCAAGTATGAATAAAGCTGCTATAAACGTGTATATGCAGGTTTTTGTGTGGGCATAAGTTTTTGACTCCTTTGGGTGAATACCAAGGAGCATGATTGTTGGATCGTACAGTCTGAGTATATTTAGTTTTATAAGAATGCCAAACTGTCTTCCAAAGTGGTTGTGCCATTTTGCATTCCCACCAGCAATAAATGAGAGTTCTTGTTGACCTCATCCTCTCCAGCATTTGATGTTGTGAGTGTTTTGGATTTTGGCCATGCTAATAGGTGTGTAATTGTATCTTGTTGTTTTAATTTGCATTTCCCTGATGACATATGATGTGAAGCATCTATTTATATGCTTATTTTCCATCTGTATATCTTCTTTGGTGAGGTGTCTGTTAAGGTCTCTGGCCAATTTTTTAATCTGGTTGTTTATTTTCTTATTGTTGAGTTTTAAGAGTTCTTTACATATTTTGAATAACAGTCCTTTGACAGATGTGTCTTTTGCAAATATTTTCTCCCAGTCTGTGGCTTATCTTCTCATTCTCTTGACATTGTCTTTTGCAGAGCAGAAGTTTCTAATTTTAATGAAGTCCAGCTTATCAGTTACTTTTTTCATGGACTGTGCCTTTGGTGTTGTATCTAAAAAGTCATCACCATACCCTAAGCCATCTAGATTTTTTCTTATGTTATCTTCTAGGAATTTTATAGTTTTATGTGCTTTATTTAGGTTTATCATCCATTTTGAGTTAATTTTGGTGAAGGGTATAATATCTGTCTAGATTTCTTATTTTGTTTTTGTTTTGTTTTGTGTGTGGATGTTCAGTTTCAGCACCATTTATTGAAAAAACTCTTTTTGCTCCATTTTATTGCATTTGCTTCTTTGTCAAAGATCAGTTGGCTGTATTTATTTGGGTCTATTTCTGGGATCTCTATTCTGTTCCATTAATCTATCTAAGTCCATTTTTACTATCTCTACCCTGCTCTCCTACCTTGAGGCTGAGCCGTATGAACTACACTTTTATCTAATGCCCTTAGTACCCTAATTTTTAGAAACTGCCTCTTAGTTCCCTACTATGAGCAATAATGAAATTAGCTAGTAATCTCTTTTTCCCTCTCCCCACCACCTTCTAATTTAAAATGATATTCTTTTACTTCTAGTTAATGCCTACTGGGTAGCTATCTCATGTACACTTCCTCCATGTTTTGCTTCTTGTATTATATCTATAGTGTCAGAGTTCACCATATTAAGATGGCAGGACCAAATTTCCATCATTTAGTCTTAGTTATACACTTAAACATATTCAATTCTCAACACCAGTCCTTGTGGTGAAGCTTCTCCAATCACTACTGGATTGTCTGAAGCTCATTCTCTAGTGGATTTGTCAGGAAGGGATCATGGAAACAATATTCCCTGAGTACTCACATGTTCGTAACTGTTTATCTGTGGCTTTTATGCTTGAAGATCACTTTGGTTGGATATAACACCCTTGGCTCACATTTTCTGTGCTTGAATATCTTAAATGTGTTGCTCCATTGTTTTCTCGTAAGATTTTACTGTTCATGAAGTCTGATGCTTAGTTATTTATTGCTTATTAATTATCTATTGCTGCAAAACAAATTACTCCCAAGCTTAGCAACTTAAAACAATAAACATTTGTTATCTCATGTTTTCTGTGGGTCAGGAATTTGGGAATGCCTTAGCTAAGGTGCTTCTGCTTCCTCTGGACCTCCCCTAACTCGGCCCTTGAATCTTCTGTCTTCTTTACCTTCAGTGTCTGTGTTCTGCCCAATTCGGATTCTGCATCCAGAAATTTTTCTCAGAATGAGAATCTGTCCCTCTGGAAGGGAGTCTTTTCGTTAGGTATTTACGAAATGTTCAATGGCTTATCTTGGCACAGCACCCTCTGTTGTGAGTCAGGTTCAATGGAAAGCAGAATCTAAGACTCCAAGATTTGCATGTGGAAGGATTATTAGGGAGCACTCTCAGGAATAACACCTGCGAAGAATAAGGAACGTAGAATTGGGCAAAGAGAGAAGATGATTTGTGATGAGATTGCAGCAGAGACTTCAACTGATCCCACAGAAATCTCTGGACCTGGGTTGGCTCTTTAGAGTTGCCCCAATTGAAGCAAACTGGCCAGGCCTTTGTGTTTCTCCATCAACTAGTCTTTGGAATATTCCTTTCTTTCCCCCACTGATCTGCCACACCACCTCTGTCCTATATCAAAGGTCCGTATATGAATGGGTCCATTCCAAGCTCTCTCTTTGATTTCATTGGTCAATTTGTCTATCCCAACATCAATACTACTCTGTCTATTACTCTAGCTTCATAAACCCTGATATCTGGTAGGGCAATCCTCTCTCTCTTTATTCTTCTTTATTAGTGTTTTCACTATTCCTAGCCCTTTGTTCTTCCATATAAATTTTAGAATGAGCTTATTAACAGTGCTTCTCAAACAACTAAAAGTGGTGATCCTGGAGACGGGTTACCTAGCAAAACAGATTTTTCACACCAATAAATTAAGTCATATAGGAAGTAATTGCTTTCTAGGACTTTATTTTACTATGCTTTATAAATATATATACACATGGGGTTGCCAGATTTAGTAGAAAGAAAAACAGGTTGCTCAGTTAAATTTGAATTTCAGATAAACGACATGGAACATATTTATACTAGAAAAATTATTCATTGTTTATCTGAAATTCAGATTTAACTGGGCATCCGTATTTCGTCTGACAATCCTAATACACATTCCTTCTCCGCCCCCCACAACACGCACACACATAGTTAATACCATTTTACATGTTTTTCCCTGGATCCTCTGTTTGTGAGACAACCACCTTATCCAGTATAATACTGTTAACCACAGTGTTTTCTAAGAACGTGTCACTCAAAGTGGATAATGGAGTTCTGTACTTGTGTCAATGGAAAAACAAAAGAAAAACAGTGTATGTTATTTTTCTTTTTTTTTTTTTTTTGTGAGGAGGACTAGCCCTAGGCTAACATCCGATGCCAATCCTCCCCTTTTTTCTTGAGGAAGACTGGCCCTGGGCTAACATCTGTGCCCATCTTCCTCTACTTTGTATGGGATGGGACGCCGCCACAGCGTGGCTCAACAAGTGGTGCGTCGGTGCACCCCCGGGATCCAAACCTGCGAACCCCGGGCCACCGCAGTGGAGCGTGCGCACTTAACCGCTGCGCCAGGGGGCGGCCCCAGTATATGTTATTTTTAAAGCAAGAAGAAAATTCTCTTCCACATGTGAATTGCCCAGGCCCAAATGGGGCAAGATAAAGATTCTCTATCCTCAGCTTCAGGGCTCAGCCTTACTTTTTAGACCTCTCCAAAGGGCCCTGCCTTTTGTACACACCCCAGCCTTAGGCAGGAGCAGAGGTTTTATGAGGTGGATGAGCAGATCCACCTAGGGCTGTGGGGAGGAAGCTTCCAGTGAGACCAACGGCAGTTCCCGTTCTCCTTGAGCAGATCTTGCGAACGCTGAAGGGCTATGATTCCTACAACACCCTGCTGCTGCCTCCCCGCCTTCCGGGGGAGAAGCTGCTCCCAGAGTTGTACGAGTACTTTAAGGAGGTGAAGCGGTCAAAAGAGGAGCAGACGAAGGTGAAATGTCTGACGAGTCTGGCAGAGGAGAATGGTAAGAACTCAAGCAGAGAGCCCCTGGCTCCAGCCGCTGCCCTAGCTTCTTTGAATGATCTCTGTTGGGAGACCAACCAGTTATTCAGCACCTGCCAGGTGCCAGGGAGGTGGGAGGTGCCTTGCATATTTCATTTCTAACCCTTACAAAATGGTCCTGATATCCCCATTGTATGGATGCGGAGACGGGGACACATTCTGCTCTCACTAGAGTCTAGTGGGGAGTTAAGACTTAAAAACAGCTAATAAAGATATAGAAGAACATTTGCTAGATACCAAACCCTGTGCTGAGGGCTTTACGCATACACATGAGAAATAACGCACTGAGAGGCCAAGTCCACCGTTTTAAATGGCAGAATCAGGATTCAAGCCCAGGTCTCTCTGACTCCGGAGTCCGTGATGGTAACCACTAAACTCCACAGCCTCCATGTGTGTTCCTAGGTAAATGCAAAGTAATACATCATGCACGGCAGAAATTGGTGCCCTGAGAAAGGTAGGGATGGGAGTTCACACGAGGAAGAGGTCGCCCTCCGTGGTCCTCAAGGCCAAACCTCAATCACAAAGCTGGACCATGTTCTCATAATCTGGCCCTTCCTGGCCCAGTGCCCCTGAGTTATGCCCTCATCCACCCAGGGACCCCCTTGTATGCACTTCAGCATCAAGGTTCCTTGATGACCTGTAGGATTGTGTGGCTTGTCATGATGCATGCTTCTCCCTCCTAATTCTCCATGCCCTCACCCTGGAAATGTGCCTTCCCTGTTCTTACTTACTCTCTTTTTCTGTGTAACCATCATCATATGTGTAATTATTTTCTTCAGATCTGTCTCCTCCCCTAGACAAGAAGCCACCATAAAGGCAGTGATCACATATTCCTCACTTGTAAGCCCAGTGCATGGAACAGTACCTGATACGTCATAGCACCCAATAAATATGCTCTCAGAGTGAAGGAATGAATTGAATAGAATCCATTTCTCCTGCCCTTGGGCCTCTCTTGTCTCTCAAGGAAGGTAGTCAGAGATACTAGTTTGCCCTAAAAGGAAATGAGAGAAGAAAGCTGCCTCTTACCCAATCTCCTGGTCATACTCATTGAGCACTATCCGTTTGCTAGAACTGCCATCACAAATACCACAGATGGGGTGGCTTAACCAACAGAAATTTATGTTCTCACAGTTCTGGAGGCTAGAAGTCCAAGATCAGGGGTCGGCAGGGGTTGTTTTCTTCTGAACCTCTCTCCTTGGCTTGTAAATGGCTGTCTTCCTCTGTGTTGACATGGTCTTCCCTCCATGTGTGTCTGTGTCCTAATCTCTTCTTTTAAGAACACCAGTTATAGTGGATTATGGGTGGATTAGGACATCCATATGACCTCCTTTTGTCTTAATTACCTCTTTAAAGGCCCTATCTTCAAATACAGTAACATTCTAAGGTACTGGGAGTTAGGACCTCAACATATGAATTTTAGGGGAACCAATTAGGCCCATAAAAAGCCCCCGCTATGTTCCAAGCACTGAGCTGAAGTGCTGGAAAAAAAAGATCAATGAAATCAGCCCCCGTCCTTGAGAGCTCACAGTCAGGAAGCGGGTAGGGGATGGACATTTAAACTCAGGACTGCCTGGTGGCCCCAGGCAAAAAGCTGCAAGGCGCTGCCTTGTACAAAGGACTTCATGAAGTCAGAGAAGGGCCCTGTGGCTTTGTCTCGTTTTTTTGTCCTTGTCTTCACACACCACAGTTGTGGGTTTGTTTTTTCATTTGGCCCATTGAAAGGTAGTTTAGAGCCAAGACCCAAGGGTCCAACCGGAGCCTAGGAAGGCACACACTCTGCTTCTCACCAGCACTGCTCTGAGCATCTGCTCACTCTGGTCTCATGCTGCAGACCGTCCTTCTCTGCTTCCCTCACCACGTCCAGGAGGACCAGCAGCCCGAGTCACGCCGCCATCATTCACAGGAGAGCTGCAGCCTCTCTGACTCAAATCCAAATTCTAAACCAAAGGGGTGCCTTGGCCCTGAAGTATAGGGGGGTCATCTTATACAGTCCAACGCCCCCACTGAAACTCTGCAGAACAGGGGCAATGAGGAAGGTGCTGAGCAGACGAAAGGGTAGATGTGCTTAACAATGACATGGAGAAATGTTCATGATAAATTAAGGGTGAAAGCAGGCTACAAATGGGTATGTACAATATGAGCCCAAGTTCAGTTGTGAAAAACTAAAAATTAAAAATCTGAGAGCTTGCAGCTCTCCTATGCTGGTATCGTAAAATTAAGCTGCAATTCCTCTGTCACCGTTTCTTTGTCTATCTCTATTTCTTTCTACGGCTAAATTTTATAATTTTTTCCTCTTCTGAATTTTCCAAATTTTCTGAAGCAAATCTGTAATTTGGGGTTTGTTTGTTTGTTTTGATGTAGAAACACTTTGGGCAGAGAAACTTCTTAACAGCCTACTGACTGCAGTTCTTGTTTATTTGGGTCGGATAGTCCAAGATTATGGTAACCGGTTCAGTGATTCTCTTCTTTGTCTTTCCTTCCTCTTCTGCCCCCATCTCCATTGTCCCCCTCCCAACTCTTCCATGTGTTTCCATCCTTTGCTCCATGGCAGAAGACGAAGATACGCCCTTGTCAGAACGGGGAACCTCCACCAGCACGAAGAGGACCTCACTTAGCCGAGGGATCTCTGTCACATCCAACCTGGAAGAGCGACATGTCCCTGTGGTCGAGTCCAAGATCTACCCTGATGAAGAGGATGAGGAAAATCTGGAAAAAATGATGTTTCAAAGTAACCAAGCATTTTAATATTTTGGTACCAGTTGTCTCTAAGGAGAATTTGGGAAGACTGTTCCATGCCTTTTCACCTTTCCCCAAAATATGCATCCTCCGAGCCTTCTAGCACTACTATGTGTTAATTCTAGAATATGAATATGCCATCATTTACTTACCCATTTCCCTTAATGTTGCAAATTCAGCTAGTTTAAAATATTATTTTTCAGCAGGAGAGATTCCCCAAAATGGAATTAAGAGTCAAAGAGTACCTGTATTTTCAATTGTGGCTGTGGACAAATTATGAGCCAAAAGGGCGCTCTCATAGACCAGAGTGGGGAGTGAGGACTGCAGCAACATTTGCAGCAGATTGTGTGTCATTTTAAAACAACAACATTTAGAAAGAAAAAGCCATTCCCATTTCCATCAGAACTCATGTGATTTCTGAGTGTGTCCACATGCACACACATGGGCACATGCACATGTATATTTTTAATTTGCAGCTGACAAGAAACAGAGTGTTGACAGCCCCCCCACAGAGGAAGTTGGAGAGGTAGAGAATGGCCCAGTAAGCAAAGTGATCGCTCGTTACCTGGGCATCGATATTTCTGCAGAAGGCCGCATGGCCAAGAACCGGAGAGGCATCGCCATCATCATCCATGGGACGCCCGTGTCAGGTATGCCACAGCTCGGAGGGCTTGCTCCTTTGGGGTTTACGGTGAAGTTTGCACATGTAATTTTTGAGGCAATAAAAGACTCTTTTATTGAAAATGTATATACCAAAGGATTATCCTCAAACTGTTCAATTGCCAACCTCAGAGATACAGAGGTAGAGAATAGGTGGGAACACCTCATTCTTACTTAGTGCATCTCTGAATTGCTTGAGCTTACATTTTTTCAATAATTGAAAAACACTAAAATATTAGAGAAAAATCCAAGACATTAAATTATTTAAAAACAGAGAGGAAAAATATGTGTAAACCCTTTGACCTGGCATTATTACTTCTAAAACTTTATCTTAGGAAAATAGTGATGTGGACAAAGATTAACTCCATGAATGTTCACTGCAGCATTGTTTCCCATAAAAAAAGTTGGGAGCAATTGAAGCATTCAGTATGGGGAACTGGTTAATTAAACCATAACACATTCATATCGTGAATTACGTTGCCAATAAAAACAGTCTCTTGTACACCCATGTTCATAGCAGCATTATTCACAATAGCCAAAAGGCAGAAACAACCCACTGTTTGATGGATGAATGGATAAAAAAAAAGTGGTACAAAGGGATATTATTCAGCATTAAAAAGGAAGGAAATTCTGACACATGCTACAAAATGGGTGAAACTTGAAGACATTATGCTAAGTGAAATAAGCCAGGCACAAAAGAACAATTATTGTATGATTCCATTTATATGAGGTACCTAAAGTAGTCAAATTCATAGAGACAGAAAGTAGAGTGGTGGTTTCCAGGGGCTGAGGAGAGGGAGGAATGGGAGGTTATTGTTTAATGTGTACAGAGCTTCCATTTGGGAAGATGAGAAAGTACTGGAGATCGATAGCGGTAATGGTTACACAACAATGTGAATATACTCATACAACTGAATTGTACACTTAAAAATGGTTAGAATGGTAAATTTTGTATGTAAATAAAAAAACATGTGCCATAGAAGTGTATTGAATGCATAGAAAGACGTTCATGGTATATTGTTTTGAGAAAAAAAATACCATACGTAGGATTTGTAATCTGTATTAATTTCCTATTGCTACTATAACAAATAACCACAAACTTAGTGGCTTAAAACAATGAAAATTTACTTTCTTACAGTTCTGGAGGTCAGAAGTCTAAAATGGGCAAGAGGGCTGGATTCCTTCTGGAGGCTATAGGGGAGAATTCATTTCCCTGCCTTTTCTAGCTTCTAGAAAAGTTACCTGCATTCCTTAGCTCATGGTCCCTTCCTCCGTCTTCAAAGCCAGCATTGTAGCATCTTCCAGTCTCTCTCTCTTTAGAGAGCTTTCACCATCATATCACCTGTTCTGACTCTGACCCTCTTGCTTCTCTCTTGTAAGGACCCTTGTGATTACATTGAGCCCACCCAGATAATCCAGGATAATCTCCCATATCAAACTCCTTAATTTAATCACATCTGGAAATTCCCTTCACCATGTAAGATAACATATTCACAGGTTCTGGGGATTAGGATGCAGATGTCTTTGGGGGGGCCATTATCCAGCCTACCAAGTAACCCATTTCTTTTTTTATGAGAAATATAAATAAAATAGTTACATATGCATGCTTAGCAGCCGTATGCTAACTGTAATCTCTCTGCATGAGTGAATTATGGATCTGTTTTTCTTTTCTCCTCTTTGTTATTTCTGAATTTTCTGCTTTCTTTTTAATGAGGAGGCATTTTGAAATGAGAATAAAAATTAACGCAAGTTATTCTTTAAACCAAAAAAGTCTTCCCATTGGACTCAGAGACAGTAAGAGCTACAAGATTTTTAAAGATCATCTGAGAGAATCACTTTTTAAACTGAGGAGAAAATCCAGAGAGGATGTGAGTTGCCATAGCACATGGTGCATCGGTGGTAGAATCAGGACCAGAATCCATGGTCCTAACTCCTGGCTCAGGTCTTCCTTCTCTTTCTGCTGCCACCTCTGGCTACACGAGAGACTTAGAGACAGAACACTTGGAGAGATCACTTTACAGGGGCCTCTATCCTAGAAGCTTTTTCTGTCTAGGACACTGAGCAAATGAGAGCCAGGAAATTCAGTCCCCCGACCTTTTTTATAGGAAAGTCAGCCACTGCAGTCAGCATTGCCAAGTACTACAATGCAGCCTGCTTGAACATCGACTCCATTGTGCTGGAAGCCATCTCCGACGGCAACAACATCCCGGGAATTCGGGCCCGCGAGCTCTGCATCAAGGCTGCCATAGAGCAGTCCATGAAGGAAGGAGAAGAGTCTGGTAAGAGCCATTTCCTCTGACTTTTTGTGGTCAAGTGGCCATCACCCCCCCTGCTAACCCCCATCTTCTGTGTTTCCCTCACTGAGCTTTTCTTCAATAGCCCAGTTGAAGGCTGACTTACAACATGCTGCCAACTTAGTAGCCCAGAGGAGAATTCTCTTCTCCAAGCATCTACAGCTCTCCTGGCTGCCCAATGCAGGCATGCACTTGGCACAGAGGCAACAGGACAATGAATAAGATGTGGCCCATACCTTTGGGAGTGACACCTGGAGGGGAGCAGACATGTGCCCTTTTGGAGCAGAGGAAAATAATGTTGTAACCTAAATACTGGCTTCTGTGAAAGAGCAAGCTTGGGATTGGGTACCAATAAGTGTGATTTGGAGAAGTTTTCATGGAAATAGGCTTTGAAAGAGCAGGAGAATGTTGATAGGCAAAGATGAAGACGAGGACATTCCAGACCAAGAGAGCAGGGAAGCTGACAGTAAACTAGAGGTGGGAAGGCAGGTTGAAGCCAATCATAGTTGACCTTGATGCCAAGATTAGGAATTTGGATTTTATTTTGAAGGAAAAGAGGAGTTGGGCAGTTTTCACCCTATGGGAGAAATGACCAGAAGGTCACAGTAGGAAAGTAACTCTTGTAATGTCTTGTAAAGGAAGCAATAGTGAAGGTGAAGATGAATGGGCCTGGGCCGGCTGACCTGATAGCCACCTGCCAGGGAGAGAATTAAAGGAATGGGAAGCATTCAAGATGGTCACACCAAGATTTCTAGTTAGGGAAACCAGGAACAGAGTGATATCATTTACCAAGATAGGGAACATAGAAGGAGGAGAAAGTTTGCTGGAGAGGAAAATTAAATGAGTTTTTGAAGCCCACAGTAGTGAGGCCTGAGAAAGTAATGTCAAGCTAAAGATATAATTGGGGGAGTCTTCCTAAATGAAGCAAGAGGTGCAGCCACTGGAGTAGAGGAAATCAGCCCAGAAAGTTCCAGAAAGAGATTAAAGGATTGGACAGGGCAGGATGGGACCTTAGGGAACACTAACATTTTAGGAGGCAGTGGTGGAGGAGAAGCCAAGGGAAGCCAAGGAGGCAGAGTGAGGGTCAGA